TCTCTGCACGGTCGCCAGGTAATTTTACCTCCAATCACCAAGGAACTAACGTTGTATTTCTTTTTCAGGAACCTCAGGACGTCTATCAACCGGAACAACGCCGTTAGGATACCAGGAACAACACAGGTAAGTATATTTTATTCCACAGTTTATTTGTTTTATATAGAATAACTATTGTCTTTATTATGTCACTATTCAGTTCGTCTTTATATGATAACGTACACGAATGAGTAATCTTTATTAACTTATCAAATACGCAACGACTCTTTTTTCTGCGCTATTCTTATGACGCAATCGCACGCAATGATTATCGTTATATCACACTTGACCGATTGATTTTCGCGATACACTCGCACACAATCAGCTTTGTACTACGACTAATCGTATTTACTCAGACTATTAAAATAAACATAAAAACGTAATTAACTTTTCTTTTGTTCGAGTGTTGTACGATTTTACCAGCTTGTATATCACGACGCATCCGCACGCTACAAGCTTCGTACTTCGACTTATTGAGTATTACGCAGATTTTTCTTATTCGAAACCACGGTACGTCCGTTCGTATCGAATTCTGCGATGCGACTTACTCTTCTCTCGACGCTGCGCGCCTTCTCTCCCAAGCTCCTACTCCGCCGCCGCGAAGTAGCGCCCTACGCGCATGCGCAGTTTCTCTCACTACTCCTTTAACTTTGGACATAAGGTTTCCTATTTGGTGTGTGTGTTGTGTGTGTCCCCGTAGTATGTGTGGTGTATGTGTATTTCCTTAAACTTGTACTTCAGTTTGTATGTAACGAAATTAAATGTGTGAGTTAGGTGCTCAAATTTGGTATGTGTGGTACATGAGTGTTGTCCAATCGCGTGGTGTTTGATTTTTTCCTTATGTCTGTGTTTTAGTATGTGTGTGGTACGTATCAAAACTTGTGGCTTAAGGCCTCTAACTGTGTGTGTGTGATGTGTGTGTGTTGCCCTGTTGTCCGATGTGTGTAAGGTCCCTTAAATATGTGTTTGGATTTATATGTGTTGTGTGTAAGAGGTTTGTCTTAAGGGCTGTAATTGTGTGTGTGTGTTGTATGAGTGTTGCCCTGTTGTTTGGTGTATGTATGGTTCCTTAACCAAGTGTATTAGTATATGTGTGGTGTGACTCCAACTTACGGCTTAAGGCCTATAACTTCATGTGCATGATGTGTGTGTGTGACGTAGTTATCTGATGTGTGTATGGCCCCTTAAGTGTGTGTTTGGGTTTATATGTGTTGTGTGTGAAAGTTTAGCTTAAGGGTTAAATTGCGTATATGTGATGTATGAGTGTTGTATGTATGTTTTGTCTTACCCTTTTCTCTTATGTCCAAGGTTTTGACCTCCGCAAACTAAATTTTAACTAACGTAAACTACGTTAGTGTCTCCGCTTTACGGTAACTAAAAATAAAAAACGGCACAGGTCGCCCCCTGTGTTTACACAAAATAAAATAAAACGACGTTGCTTGTTTACCTAAACTACAACTACAAAACAAAAACCAACGAAGCGCTAAAACTAAAATAAAAAGTCTGTTTGTTCACAACGTGTGATGCTTCGCTTCGTGACCCCGCGTCACCTCGTCCTTGTTGGTCCTCCCAGGGGTGTCAGGTGACAACCCTCGCCAATCCGGAGTCTGTGTGAAAGTCCTCCCT